CAACCCACCCTCCCAGCCCACCCTCCCAGCCCACCCAGCCCACACTCCCAGCCCACCCTCCCAGCCCACCCACCCACACTCCCAACCCACCCTCCCAGCCCACATTCCCAGCCCACACTCCCAACCCACCCTCCCAGCCCACCCTCCCAGCCCACCCAGTCCACACTCCCAACCCACCCTCCCAGCCCACCCTCCCAGCCCATCCTCCCAGCCCACACCAGCCCACACTCCCAGCCCACCCTCCCAGCCCACCCTCCCAGCCCACCCAGCCCAAACTCCCAACCCACCCTCCCAGCCCACCCTCCCAGCCCACACTCCCAACCCACCCTCCCAGCCCACCCTCCCAGCCCCCTCCCAGCCACCCAGCCCAAACTCCCAACCCACCCTCCCAGCCCACCCTCCTCAGCCCACCCTCACCAGCCCACACTCCCAACCCACCCTCCCAGCCCACCCTCCAGCCCACCCAGCCCACACCCACACTACCCACCCCCCACCCACCCTCCCAGCCCACCCTCCTAGCCCACCCAGCCCACATTCCCAACCCACCCTCCCAGCCCACATTCCCAGCCCACCCTCCCAGCCCACCTCCCAGCCCACCCTCCTTGCCCACCCTCCCAGCCCACCCCCCCAGCCCACCCAGCCCTCCCAGCCCACCCCCCAGCCCACCCTCCCAGCCCACCTCGCAGCCCACCCTCCTTGCCCACCCTCCCAGCCCACCCCCCCAGCCCACCCAGCCCACACTCCCAACCCACCCTCCCAGCCCACCCTCCCAGCCCACCCCCCAGCCCACCCTCCCAGCCCACCCTCCCAGCCCAACCTCCCAGCCCACCTCCTTTCCCCCCTCCCAGCCCACCCCCCTATCCCACCCTCCCAGCCCTCCCAGCCCACCCTCCCAGCCCACCCTCCCAGCCCAACCTCCCAGCCCACCTCCTTGCCCACCTCCCAGCCCACCCCCCCAGCCCACCCTCCCAGCCCACCCCCCAGTACCACCCTCCCAGCCCACCCTGCCAGACCACCCTCCCAGCCCACCTACCCAGCCCACCCACCCAGTACACCCTCCCAGCCCACACTCCCAGCCCACCCTCCCAGACCACCCTCCCAGACCACCCTCCCAGCCCAACCTCCCGACCACCCTCCCAGACACCACCCCCCAACCACCCTCCCAGCCCAGACCCACCCAGTGCACCCTCCCAGTGCACCCTCCCAGCCCAGCCTCCCAGCCCAGCCTCCCAGCCCACCCTCCCAGCCCCCCCTGCCAAACCGCCCTGCCAGATCACCCTGCCAGACCACCCTGCCAGACCACCCTGCCAGACCACCCTCCCAGCCCAACTTCCCAGACCATCCCTTAGGGTAGGACCTTCTTCCACTGGGGAATCCCACCTACCAGTGAGTATATCCACATCTGCTCCACGTTCCTTTCCACCTGCCGTCAGTATATAAGCACCAGCCTCCTTGCGTCTGCTGCAGAACCTCCACCACCACGACGCTGTGAACACCAACTCCAAGGCTGAGGGACTGATTACTTTCCATCAAGGCTGTGGGACTGATTACTTTCCATCAGGGATGAGGGGCTGATTACCTTCCATCAAGGCCGAGGGACAACCCAGGGCAACATGGCTTCAGAGCAGGTCGCTCCTGCCTTTCGCAACTGCTTGACCACTATGATATGGTCCTGGATGCACTGGAAAAGAAACAGAATGCAGATGTAGTATACACAGACTTTGCAAAAGCCTTTGACAAGTGCGACCATGGTGTAATAGCACACAAAATGCATGCTAAAGGGATAACCGGCAAAGTAGGCAGATGGATCTTCAACTTTCTAACCAATCGAACACAGTAGTGGTAAACAGAGTTAAATCAGATCCTGCCATAGTGAAGAGCTCTGTTCCACAAGGCACAGTACTCGCCCCTATCCTGTTCCTTATTCTCGTATCAGACATAGACAGAGATGTAAACCACAGCGCTGTATCATCTTTTGCAGACGATACTAGGATCTGCATGAGTGTCATCCACTGAGGACACTGTTAACCTCCAAGAAGATATAAACTAAGTTTTCCAGTGGGCAACAGAGAACAATATGATGTTCAGTGAGGACAAATTCCAACTGCTCCGTTATGGAAAACTGGAGGAAATAATAACTAGGACTGAGTATACTACAAACTCCAATCACACAATAGAGCGGAAAAGTAATGTGAAGGACCTGGGAGTGGTAATGTCAGAGGATCTCGCCTTCAAGGATCACAACAATGCCACTATCACATCTGCTGGGAAACTGATAGGATGGATAATGAGAACATTCAAGACAAGAGATGCCAAGCCAGTGATGATCCTTTTTAAATCACTTGTTCTCTCTAGGCTGGAATACTGCTGTACATTAACATCCCCATTCAAGGCAGGTGAAATTGCAGAGCTAGAGAATGTACAGAGAACTGGGAGTACCTGGAAGCACTTGACTTGTACTCACTAGAGCGCAGGCGAGAGAGATATATCATAATCTACACCTGGAAGATTCTGGAAGGACTGGTCCCTAATATGCACACAGCAATCACTCCATACGAAAGCAAAAGACTTGGCAGGCGATGCAACATACCCCCAGTGAAGAGTAGGGGCGTCAGTGGTACACTAAGAGAAAACACAATAAGTGTCCGGGGCCCAAGACTGTTCAACAGCCTCCCACCAGCAATAAGGGGCATTACGGGAAGACCCCTGGTTGTCTTCAAGAGGGAGCTGGATAGATACCTAAAGACGGTGCCGGATCAGCTGGGCTGTGGTTCGTACGTTGGATTACGTGCGGCCAGCAGTAACAGCCTCGTTGATCAGGCCCTGATCCACCGGGAGGCCTGGTCGTGGACCGGGCCGCGGGGACGTTGATCCCCGGAATTCCCTCCAGGTAGACTCCAGGTAGACCTTCCATCAAGGCTGAGGGACTGATTACCTTCTATCAAGGCTGAGGGACTGATTACCTTCTATCAAGGCTGAGGGACTGATTACCTTCCATCAAGGCTGAGGGACTGATTACCTTCCATCAAGGCTGAGGGACTGATTGCCTTCCATCAAGGCTGAGGGACTGATTACCTTCCATCAAGGCTGAGGGACTGATTACCTTCCATCAAGGCTGAGGGACTGATTACCTTCCATCAAGGCTGTGGGACTGATTACCTTTTCCCCCAAAGTTTTCTTTTGTTTGGGTTGTTTTGTGTTTTGTTTTTAAAACAAGCCAACGGAGGGAAATCAGCTATTTTGGATGTTTTTAAAGAAATTTGAATTACCTCAAAACCCTCCTTGGCAAGTAAAACCCAAACCCCCAAAGGACCCAACGCGTTGAAAAGCGAAAAAATACTGTTTAAATGTGTTCTTAGCAAGCCCTTTGTAGCAGGGTTACATAGCCCTGGTTGCTCAACCTGGGAAAACCCTTGTAAGTTGCCATCTCCCCCCCTGTCTCGGTTTTTCGTCTGTCTTTAACATCGGGATTCATTGGTGCCAAAATACAGGGCCCCTGTGTTGTGCCCACTGACAACCTGTTCGGGTTTTCCACAATGCAGAAGATGTCGTTTCCCCAAGTGAAAACCCAGGGGTCAAGGTTGCCAGCATCACACTTCAAAGTTTCCCCAGCTTGAAATACTTCAAGGTTTGCACTCAAATTTGTCGGTTTGACGGCAGGTGTGGGTCCAAGTGCGGCACTTCAAGGGGGGGCCAAACCGGGACAAAGACTGGTAAAGGTTGGTGCCACAGGCAGGCACTGGAAAGGGTTGGTGACGTGCGGAGATGGTCTTTTTTAAAAGTCAAACTTAAAGGTTGTGGTAAAGGGTTATGGGGGGGTAAACAGACAGAAGGAAAAGGTTGGGTGAGAGTGAAAGGATGGTCAATTTTTGTAGCAGTAAAAACATGGTCTTTTGGTGTCACAGGACAAACCTTGGTTGTGCCACATGAAGAACATTAAGGTTTAATTTAAGAAAAAAATTCTTTGTCCCCCCATGACAAACCCGGTCAAGGGGTCCCTGAAGCTTCGGGTTGTCCCACGTAAGGCCCCTGTTCGGTTGCCCAGTGACACACGGCAATTTTGTGGCCAGCAGTGACAGGGCCGGTAAATTGGGTGCCATTTTCCCACCCCCCACGGTTTTCCAAAAAAAAATTGGCCACCAACAAAAAGCACGCAAGGTTGTGACTGACGGGCTGAAAATTGGTGCCGCAAAGGTGACTGAAAATGGTACTGCAACATGGTAAAATGGTGCAAAGTGCCCCTCAAATGGTCTAACAGGGATGCAAGGGGGTTTCGCAACAGGACTGCAATGGTGACTGCAAACGGGGGTCAAAAGGGGCCACATGGGGCTGCAAGGTGTGCCAGCTGAACGGGACTGAAAATGGTACGAACAGTGAAACTGGTGAAGGGTTTCCAACATGACGGGACTGATAAAGGGTAAGAACAGGTGACTGAACGGGTATTGCAACAGGGGACGCCAATTGGTAAATAACAGGGTCTTGAACAGGTGACGCAACGGGTCATTGAACAGGTAGAACATGTCATTGACAGGGACTTAAAAGGGTGACTGCAAAACAGGCATTGCCAGGTGACGAACAATAAAATGGTTTTGGCAAACTTTGTGGACGAAGGGCCCCCTGCAACATGGTCATTGGCGGTGACACACGGGGTCCAGTTTAACTTCCCCCAACGGTATAACATGGGATAACTGTACTCAACATGGTCAGAAACAGGTTGACGCCAGGGTGAAGCAACATGTGCTGCAACTGGGACTGCAACTGGTGATTGAAACATGGTGAATTGCAACTGGTACTGCAACAGGGTGCGCAACGGTATGCAACATGGGGCGAACAGGGTGACTCAACATGGTGACTGCAAAGGGGCTTGCAACTGGAACGCACATGGTTGGGTGAACATGGGGGTGAACATGGTTGCAACATGGTGCTGCAACTGGAATTCAACAGGGGTTGAAACATGGGGGGCCCTGCAACATGGAAAATTTGAAAATTTTGGGAGGAACATGGTGACTAAACAGGCAATTGCAACAGGTGACCAAACATGGACTCAACATAATTGCAACATGGTGACGGCAAATGTATTGCAACATGGTGACTGCAACATGGTAACGCAACATGGTAACTGAAACATAAAATTGCAACATGGTGACTGCAACTTTGGGACGCAACATTTTTGGGCAAGGGGGCCAATTGCAACTGGCAATGCAACATGGGACTAAACAAAATTTTTGCAACAGGTGACTGAACATGTAAGCAAAAGGGTGACTGCAACATATTAATTGCAACAGGGTGACTGCAACATGGTGACTATAAGGCAACAGGGGGTGACTGCAACATAATTGCAACATATTGAAACAGGGTGACTGCAAAAAATTGCAACAGGGTTACTGCAACATGGGACTGCAAAGGGGTGACTGAAAACATGGAGAAAAAGAACATGTACTGCAACTGGATGAAACATGGAAAATTGAACAGGGTGACGCAAATTAATTGCAACTGTGTTGAAAAGGGAATGCAACATGGTAATTGCAACATGGGATGAACATGAATTGCAATGGTGACGAAACGGTGACTGCAACATGTTTTCAACATGGTGACTGCAACATGGTAATTTGCAGCATGGTGAGCAACTGATAATTGAACTGGTGACCCAACAGGTACTGAACAGGTGACTGCCCAGGTGACGCAACAGGTGACTGCAACAGGTGACTGAAAGGAATTTAAAACTTGGCAATACAACATTAGTAATAAATCATTGGACGTTCAAAATACACGGGGACATATACACAGGTTAAAGGGGTTTTGAATCATATTGCAACTGGGGGGTTTTGGAAAAAAGACCTTAGAAAAATTGAATTAAACCTTTTAAGACTATTTTTGGAAAAAAAGCTATTGATTTGATCTTTTGGAAATTTAAACACCGGGGACATATTGTAAACTTTGACTTGAATTAAAATTAGAAAGGGAATTTAAATTTCTTTTTGTCTTTTCCATTTAACGTAATTGGGGTGTTTTAAATTTTGATGAAAAGGGCGGGGGCTGAAAATTATACCTGTAAAACTGGGCGGCATTAAATTATAAGAGTGTTTTTCTCTATTTACTATAAGAGTTGGGGTGCATATATTATGAGGAACGGGGCGGCTTTAATCTGAAAAAGCTTGGGGCTGGTATTATATTGAGGGGGTTTGATTGGGGCTGGCATTAATCTGATGGGAAAAGTTTGGGGGGCGGGTATTAAAAATTATAAAGGGTTTTTGGGGCGTTTAACTAAGAAGGTTTTGCTGGTATTATATTATGAGGGGGACTTTGGGCGCTATTTCTATAGGAGGTTGGGGGCTGGTATTATATTGATAGAGAGTTTTGGGGGGCTGGGGGGCTATTATATCTGTAGAGAGTGTTTGGGGCTGGCTTTAATTTATGAAAAAGGCTTGGGGCGGGCTATTATACTGATGAAAGTGCGGGGGCTGGCTATTTATCTATGAAGAGGCTTGGGCTGGCTTTATATCGTGAAGGGTTTGGGGGGCGGGCTTTTATTCTATGAAAGTGCTTGGGGCGGGGCTATTATATCTGATGAGAGGTGCTTGGGGCGGGCAAATTTTTTAAAGGAGAGGCTTGGGCGCTTATTCTGATGAGAGATTTTGGGGCTCTATTTATGAGAGGGGGTGCTTGGGGCTGGCTATTATATCTGATAGAGAGTGCTTGGGGCTGGCTATTAATCTGATGAAGAGTCTTGGGCTCTATTTATCTAAAGAGAGAGTGCTTGGGCGGCAATTTCGATAGGGGTTGGGGGCGGGCATTAATTGATGAGAGAGGCTTGGGGGGCTATTTTATCTGAGAGGAAATTGGGCTGAAAAATTTTCTGATAAGGGGTTTTGGGGGCTGGCATTATATCTGAGGGGAAGAGCTTGGGGCTGGCTATTATACTGATGAGAGAGGCTGGGCTGGTTTTATATCTGAGAGAGAGCGGGGCTCTATTAATCTGTTAAAGAGTTGGGGGCGGGCTTTTAATCTTTTGAGGGGTTTGGGGGCTGGCTATTAAGATGAAAAAGGTTTGGGGGCGGGTAAATTTGTTTAAGAGGTTTGGGGGGCGTTTATATCTATGAGGGAGGCTTGGGCTGGCTATTTTTTCTGATAAAGGGAGATTGGGGCTGGTTTTAATCTGATAGGAGGCTTGGGGCGGTATTATATCTGATGAGAGAGGTTTGGGGGCGGCTTTTAAATTTTGATGAGGGAGCTTGGGGCTGGCTTTTATATCTGATGAGGGAGAGCGGGGGCTGGTTTAAACTGATGAGGAGAGCTTGGCTGGCTATTATATCTATGAGGAGGTTGGGGGCGGGCTTTTATACGTTTGGGGAGGTTGGGGGCTGGCTTTATATTGAGGGGGAAGAGCTTGGGGGGCGGGGCTTTAATAGAGGAGGAGCTTGGGGGGCTATTTTACTGATGAGAAAAAGGCTTGGGGGCTGGCTATTAAAATTGATGAGAGACTTGGGCGGCTTTATATCTGATAGAGGCTGGGGCTGGTATTATATCGTGAGGAGAGTTTGGGGGGCGGCAATTATATCTGATGAGGAATTGGGCGGGCTATTATATCTATGAGGAGATTTGGGGTGGCTTTAATTGATGAGAGAGGCTGGGGGCTGGCTATTAATCGGAGGAAATTTGGGGGTCTATTAACTATGAGGGAGCTTGGGGCTGGCTTTTATATCTGTGAGAGAGATTTGGGGGCGGGGCTTTTATTTGATGAAGAGGTTTGGGGCGGGGTATTAATCTGAAAGGGAAGTTTGGGGGGCGGGCTATTATATTGATGAGGAGAGCTTGGGCTGGCTATATATCTAGAGGAGAGCTTGGGGGGGCTATTAATCAGAAGAAGCTTGGGGGGGCTATTATATCTGATGAGGAAAAGGTTGGGGCGGGCTTTATATCTTGAGAGAAGTTGGGGGCTGGCTATTATACTGATAAGGGAGCTTGGGCCGGTATTATATCTGAGAGGGGTTTGGGGGCGGCTATTATCTGAAAAGGAGGCTTGGGGCGGAAAATTATATCGATGGGGAAAAGGCTGGGCTGGCAATTAAACTGATGAGGGACTTGGGCTGGCTATTTTTTCGATGGAAAGCTTGGGTGGCTATTATTTTGATAGGAGAGTTGGGCTGGCTATTAATCTATGGGGAAAGGGTTTGGGGGCTGGCTTTTATATTATGAGGAGAGTTTGGGCTGGCTATTATATTATAAAGGGGAGTTTGGGGGCTGGCTATTATATCTGAGGGAAGTTTGGGGGCGGGCTATTATATTGATGAGGAATTTGGGGCGGGGTTTTTTTATATCTGATGAAGGAGGCTTGGGGCTGGCTTTATATCTATGAGAGGGTTTGGGGCGGCTATTAATGATAGGGAGAGTTTGGGGGCTGGTATTATCTGAGAAAAAATTTTGGGGGCGGTAATATTAAAAGGGGGTTTGGGGGCTGGCTTTTATATCTTAAAGGGCTTGGGGCTTATTATATCGATGAAAGAGCTTGGGGTGGCATTATATCTGAGAGAGATCTTGGGGCGGGCTATTATATCTAAATGAGGGAACTTGGGGGGGCTATTATATCTAAAGGGGGAAGTTTTGGGGGGCGGAATTATTGTAAAGGAGGGGTTTGGGCGGGCTTTTATATTATGGAGGGCTTGGGGTGGCTATTAAATCTATGAGGGAGAGGGGGGCGTTTTAATTGATGAGGGAGAGTTTGGGGCTGGCTATTAATCTGATGGGAGTTTGGGGGGGGCTATTATATCTATGAAAGAGCTTGGGGGGCTATTATATCTATGAGGGGTTTGGGTGGCTATTATATTGGAGAGAGAGCTTGGCTGGTATTTATCTGATGAGGGGGGGGCTTGGGGCTGGCTATTATATCTGATGAGGGAACGGGGGGTGGCTATTAATTGATGAGGGGGTTGGGGCTGGTTTATATTGATGAGAATTTGGGGCGGCATTATATCTGATAGAAGTTGGGCTGCTTTTAAATCTGGGGGGAGCTTGGGCGGCTATTATATTGTGAAGAAGTTGGGGGCGGGTTTTATCATAAAGGGAGAGCTTGGGCTGGCAATTATACTGATAAGAGAGTTTGGGGGTGGCATTATATTGATAGGGAAACGGGGGCGGATTATACTGAAAAGAGCTGGGGGCTATTATATTGATAAGGAGAGTTTGGGGGGCTGGCTATTATATCTGATGGGGGAAGCTTGGGCTGCTATTAAATCGATGAGAGAGAGCTTGGGGGGGCATTAAACGATGAAGGCTTGGGGGGCTATTATATTGATGAGGAAGCTTGGGGGGGGTATTTACGATGAAGAGAGCTTGGGCGGTTTATTCTAATGAAGAGAGCGGGGGCGGCTATTATATCAATGAGGGAGTTTGGGGGCTGTATTATACTGAGAGGGGTTTGGGGTGGATTAGATGAGGAAGCTTGGGCGGGCTATTATTCTGTTTAAAGGAGGCTTGGGCTTATTATACTATGGGAGAGTTGGGGGCGGGCTATTAAATTGATAAAGGAGAGTTTGGGGGCGGGCTTTTAAACGATGAAGAGAGCTTGGGCGGCTATTATATTGTTTAAGAGGCTTGGGGGGCGGCTATTTATCTGTAGAAAATTTGGGGGCGGGTATTATATCTGTAGGAGATTTGGGGGTTGCTATTTTTCTAGGGAAAAGAAGCGGGGGGCTGGTATTATATCGTTAAGAGTTGGGGTGGTATTATATCGAGGGGGAAGAGCTTGGGCGGCTTTTATATCGATGAAAGAGCTTGGGGTGGTTTTATATTATGAGGGGGGCGGGGGCTGCATTAATCTGATGAGAAGGTTTTTGGGGCGGGGCCCTATTATATCGGGGGGAAGAGTTTGGGGCTGGCTATTAAAATGATGAGGAGGGGTTGGGGGGGCTATTATTTAAAGGGGGAACTTGGGGGGGCAAATTAATTAAAGGAGAGCTTGGGGCGGGCTATTATACTATGAAAGAGACTTGGGCTGGCTATTATATCTATAGAAGGTTGGGGCTGGCTATTTTCTGATAGGGAAGTTTGGGCGGGCATTATATCTGTGAGGGGGCTTGGGGCTCTATTATATCTATAAGAGGTT